ATAACGCTTTTAGTTAGATGATATATGAAGTTAACTAGTCTTTGTTTTATTTTTAATTTCATTTATTTGATTCTCTAGTAGAGTTTATTATATATTTGTATTTATCATTCTAAAATATAAAAACTACATCTATTATAAGATATTGCTTTTAGAGTATAAAATATTTGTAAAAATCAGATTAGATTATTCTATGCTAAAATTATAGTTAGTTGCTAGAAAATATAGATTTTTAATTCCAATATACGATGATATGGTATATATATATATATGATTTTAGCCGCGCTTTATAAAAACGCTAATAGATCTAAGTTTGTACAGATAAAAGTATACTTGAAATCGCCATTAGATGATGTGTAAAGTAATTCTTATTAAGTTTAGCAAAATGGGAAAGCAAAGTTAATGAGACACCGATTTGCATAATTTAAGAAAGAGTAGAGAATATAAGTTTGCTGTTCGCTGATGTGAAAAATCTGTAAACTTCGAGTGGCAGGACTGTTCATCCTTTGACTGCCCTGCTCCTCCGCTGGAAAAGTTTGCACAGCCTTGCTACGAGCCATTATCAACTGAATTGCTTTGCCTTAGTCTCTGCGCTCCTATTTGTAATTGTTGAGCACCCAAACAAAGCCAATGCTAATTTTTATGCCATTGTTTATTTTGCCGTTGCTGAAAATCGCAGGAAATTTTACTTGCCAAGGCCGAAGGTGAGCGCTTGGGCATGCACATTAAGGGCGGCTTGAATGGACAGCGCGGTAATCCACTGGATCCGTCCGACGAGGGCGTCTTCGTGTCTAAAATAAACTCGGTGGGAGCAGCACGACGCGATGGAAGGCTTAAGGTAATGACTGGGCTCTCTTTGACAGTTGGGCACAGCAGCGAGAGCTCATTAAATTCAATTGATGGGAACTGAATAAAACTTTATTCTCAACTTATTCTTACCCCCCAGGTGGGCATGCGTTTGCTGGAGGTCAATGGCCATTCGCTGCTGGGCGCCTCGCATCAAGATGCAGTTAATGTTTTGCGCAATGCTGGCAATGAAATTAAATTGGTCGTCTGTAAGGGCTACGACAAATCGAGTTTAATGCATTCCATTGGTCAGGCAGGCGGCATGAGCACCGGCTTCAACTCGTCGACATCCTGCAGCGGTGGCAGTCGTCAAGGTGAGTAAACCACCAATCGTAGGGTCCATCGATAGTAGAATTCACCCAAATTTCTCCCTTGCAGGCTCTCGGGCTTCAGAGACGGGCTCGGAGCTTAGTCAAAGTCAGAGCATTTCCAGCTTAGATCACGACGAGGAGGAGCGTCTGCGACAGGTGAGCTCTAAATTAACCTGTCCAGTGGCAGCACCCTTTAAGCCCTACTCCCCCTTACAGGATTTCGATGTGTTCGCGTCACAGCAGCCAGACATGGCTGCCATGCCGGAGCCCACCAGCCAAACAGGCTTAGCAGCAGCCGCTGCCCTGGTGCATGGGTCGCCATCGCCGATACGTACAACACCGACGCCACCCGCTGGCTCGATGATGAGCGCAGATGTGGGGCAGCCCGATACAGTTGCCGCGCAGACCGTGGCGCTCATTCACGCAGAACAGGCCCAGCAGCCGCAGCCGCAGCCGCAGACGCAGGTGGCAACAATTGGCCAGGAGAAGAGCACCCGGGAGAAGGTAAGTGAACATCCTTGACCTTTAGCTGGCTGGCCACGCGCTTTCAACTTGTCGTGCTTAAACTAAATTAGGTGCTGGAAATTGTGCGCGCTGCGGACGCCTTCACCACTGTACCGCCGAAATCACCATCAGAGCATCATGAGCAGGACAAAATACAAAAGACGACGACTGTTGTTATATCGAAGCACACGCTCGATACAAATCCAACCACACCCACAACGCCCGCACCTCTGACGCTGCTGCCAGCGGAGTCGGCGACCGCTGCCGCGGCCACTGCACCCGTTGCTGCTGCACAGAATCAGAGTCAGCCCCAGTCCCAGATTCAGACTCAGACTCAGACACAAGCCAATTCAAGTCAGCAGCCAAAGCAGCAACAACAACAGGTATGTATTTAAACGCACGTCTTTCGCTAACTTACTTTGACTTGTCTGTCTATCTAAATGTGTGTGTGTACTTTCTTATACGTCCTTATATACTTATGTGTGTGCGTGAGTGCGTTACAATTGTTTAAAATCTTTTCAACATGCGTCTGTCCTTTTGATTTAACTCTGCAACACTTAACACACACGAGCGCTAGTGACTGCTGCGCATTCAACAAACTCGAGCATAAACACCAACAAAACCCAAAAATTATTCACCCTTACTTATTTATATATACGTATACACATATATATGTTTTTTTTCGTTGCTTGTTTGTTGTCTTCCATAACTCTCCTAACGTCTGACCTTTAAGATATACATACATGACGGTGTGGATGAGTCTGTTATTAACTGTGCCTGTTCCGTGTTTTACATTTAATAATATGTTTAGAATTTATGCAAGTCGTACCTCAACTTAACTCATTTCATTCCAAATAACACTCCAGCTAATCAAAATTCATAACGCATCGCATTGATAACACACTTTCTGAGCCACATTGTGATTTGTTTTTCCGTTTCGTATTTGCATTTGATATTCAGCTCGTAGAGAATGTTGAAAAAAAAAAAAATAAATAAATAAATGTGTCAAATTTCATAATTTAGATTTGTGTATGGAAATATTATTATTATAATTGTCTAACGAGATAAAATCTCGATAGCCATTTGAGAGTCAATAGGTAGTTCAATATTTATTAAAAAAAAAAACAAAAATTTATTTTTTTGGAAAAATGAAATAAAATAATTTAATATTTTGATCAACCTTAAAACTTATATACAAATCTGATGCTTATTCTTCATTATTCCCACTAATAACTTAGATTTTTACAATGAGGTCTTAGAGATATACGCTAGAGTTCTTAAAGATTTAAAAGGAGATGTCATGAAAAGAAAAACAAATCTTTGCTTAGAGTTAATTTGGAATCGGAAACGTTATCAAATTCTGATTCTTAATATGACTATAAAGAAAATATCCATAAAATAAGACTCTTGGCGAAATCAAGCATAAGACTCTCTCATGTGTATTCATTATAAATCGTGTTGTATGTCATTTATATTGTTTGCTATATTTTTGATTTAATACGATATTGTACTATTTAATCATACTTATCGATACCTTGGGGAGTAGGAGTGCATAGTGATCAGTTGCATGCGAACGAAGCCAGCCCCTATATAACAGTATATCGTATATCTCTGTCTCTCTCCCCCGTTTGGGTCCAGGCTAGGGAATTGGGGCTGGGACCACATGGCCCACATTTATTGAAATGGCAGCACACGATTTATTATTTATTAGGATATTCGTAAGAACCTGGTAGCAGACCAAGTTACGTTCGTTTTGCCTGCTTCACTGTTATTGTTGTTGTTGTTGTTGCTATTGCGATTGTTGTTGTTGTTGTTGCCGTTCTTTTATTTATGCTACTTACATTTTATATCAATTTCTGTTTGCGCCTTTATTGTTACCTTTTGGATGGCTGCTACTTGGGCATGGGCGGCATTGTTATTTTGTATGACTGTTCTTCCTGTTGACGGTGTTGTTGTTGTTGTTGTTGTTTTTGCTGTTGTTGTTCTTAGTATTCTTTGTTGCTGTTGTTATTGTTGCTATTATTGCTGGATGCCATTTTACCTTAAATCCAGTAATATTTGAATTTGCATTGGCAGTAGTAGGCAAAGAGAACAGAAATAATATTATGCATAGATGGCACGTATAATAAATGTGTATACAAATACTTATACCTCTCTCTATATAAATATATACATATATACTTATATATAGATATATCTATATCTATATATAAGTAATTCAAAATCTGCTGAAAGGAATTTCCATTAAAATGTTTCTCTTATCTTCTTCTCGTTCTTCCATTTTATTGCTCTCAATGACATGCGCGCCGTTCGCTGCTTTTCAACATATTGTTTTTCCGTTTTTTATCCATTTCTTTTTATTATACTTTACGTTTTCCTCGCGTTTTTTTTCTTGCGTTCCGCATTTTTCTTGGCGATTTGCGTAGATATCATTGCAGCGCATTTCTTAACAATCGGATGTTTCCCACCATAAGACTGAGTATTTAGTTTAAAGTACAGGAACTTATAAAGTAGAAAGCCATTAAATGAGAATACAGGCAACAGCATGGCTAATTCGCTCTGACTCAAATGCCATTTAAATTCTAAGCCTTGTCGTGTTCAATGGGCAAAGAGTTACTAGTTACGTCTATCTCTATACGTGAGACAGAAGGCTCACTCGATATTGAATCCTAAGAATACTGAATGCACTCATCAAAGCCAATGGTTTCAAAAGTCCCTCACCGACTAGCTCTCTAACTATATGAATGTCTAAAGGACTCACTGTGAATTGTAAACCTTAGGAAAGTTAAAATTTCGGCTCGCCGAAAATTAAATATTTTTGCAGAGATCAATGTGAAATTATGGAGAATTTCGATTTACAAATAAACTTTAATTTATCTATAATTCTCTACAAATCTGATGAACAATTAATTCCATTGAAAATCAAAAGTGTAAATAATTATTATGACGGCAGCATTTGCATTAAAATTTCCAATGAAGCATTTCCCAAATTAAATAAAATAAATACTCTGCAAAGGTATACTACGTAAGAAAAGAGGCAACTCCATAAATTCCCTCCTGTTAATTGAGTAATGAAAAGGCCTATTTAAAATGCAAATAAACTAATTATTAATAATTCCTGTGCCGCCATTTTGCGGCGTCCAGTATTCACATACTGTTAATGTATTGAAGTTCACTGTTTAAGGAGTCGTATGTATCTGTATTTGTATATGACACACTGTCTATTATTGTATATTATTGATATATATATATGTGTGTATACACAATGTATATCACTGTGCGACAGGCACAAAAAACGGTCCAAATACTCAACTAAATAGTACTAATTGATAAATATCATACGACCCACAACTTTGATGAATAAGCAAACAAAAAAATTCAAAAAAAAAAAAAGAAAAAACTAAAGCCAAAAATACATTATACTATTTGAGTGTTAATCAATTTTCACGTACGTCTAGGATCTTACGTATGTATTATGTTACAGCTATTGGAAACCAATTTGTTAATAGTTAATTAACTAAGATATTTGATGTTTTTAGGCATTTCGCTATTGATTTGATCTTTTGGTTGTATATTCATTTTCATTGTTTTGTCAGTTACTGTTGGTCTAAATGACACATACGGCTAGATTAATAGAATAATGGAGTGTGCATTTTTGATGTCAATAAATGAAATCTTAATGTTATAATCGTGCCAGCATATTATTACGGGGCTATCTATCATGAAGAGCGGGAAAGGAATTATGTAGTATGTTGGTTCACAAAATGAAATGCAGTTCCATTGAGAGTGGACTGAAAGCGCTTAGACTGATTGCTAGACGCAGCTATCATATTTTGTCCATTTTTGTTTTCATTGTGAGTTCTCTCATTGTTTTCTTTCGTTCCTGTTAACTGTCCTTGTCTCTGTTTCGCCTCGCTGTACACTCGGTTTTCAGTACGCTGCATCAAGCAATGTGCAGCTCATTCCATCCATCAAGCAAATTGGCCAGAGCAACGCAAATGCACCTCATCATCAGACAGCGACATTGCTAATTGGCTAACAAAATGCTGGCGAGCCGGTACCTGTACCAGTACCAGTACACGTGTACGTAAGCGTTGGGAAAACATCGTTCTCGTCGCAGCACCAAATATGCATCATCATGTGCACAACCACCATCAACACCCACAACAGTCACACACCAACAGCCACGAAACATACACCCAAACGCACTCAATTAACTTCGCACATTGCAATTTGTGTTCCATGCTTGTGTGTGAGGGAAGCAGTTTCGGCTGCAACCATCCAGCCAAATGAACAAACAGAACTCAAAACTAAATAAAAAACCAAAAAATCCAAAATCCAATAGCAGCGCGGCACACAGACACCGGAACGACTGGCACCCGGAGCGCGTTACTCATATCAGAAAATGCTGGAGTCCCAGGAGGAGAGTCAACAACAAGAGCCCACACCAGCGCCCACAACGCCCAAAAAAGCCGAGCCCGTCTACATCATCGACGACGACGATGAGGACGATGATGCCATTGCCGAGGAAGAGGAGTCCTCGCCGCCCGTCGACTTGCAGTCGCCACCTTCATACGCGGACACCGACTCTGATTGCTTTGAGCGTCCGCGCGGCCGCTACACCAGCGACTCGGAGAGCGATTGTCGGCCGTACAAGCCGTCCCGTTCGGGACGCAGCACGCCCGAGTATGCTGGAGGCCATCGGAAGTCCGTGAGCTTTGATCTGAGTGGCGACGAGCGCTCTAAGTCCGACTATGAGCGCTCGCGGTCTCGCACACCCGATCGATTCACGCGTGCCTATGACTCGGAGCAGGACACCCGCTCGAAGATCAGCAGTCGCATGCCTCGCAAGGGTATCCTCCGCGCCACTAGTCCCAGTTCCTCGGCCAGCTCCACTCTAGAGCGCCGTCCAGATCCCTTGCCGCCCATTGTGCCGACCGTTGCACGAATTCGGGAGGTCGAGTCTCCAAAGCTGCAGCATGTCTCGCGTGCCACATCGCCCGATCCCCCAGAAGGTGAGCTGGATCGCGAGAACCCCTTCCGCCAGGCGCACCCCAGTGAAGACGATGAATATACGCAAATCGCCAAGGCAATCAGTATGTCGCCCCGTTCGCCGCGCAATCAATTTTTCTTTGGTGGCGCGCGATCCAACGAGGATCTGCTCGAGCAGTCGCCATCCAGTGGACGTAGTACACCTAGCACGGTCATATCCAAGTCGACAGAGAACTTGACGGGCACACGGCCCAAAGTGCCGCCACCCACGCTGCCCAAGCCGCAGCTCAAGAAGGCCGATTTGGTGCGCAACGTCGCCCTGGAGACGTTCCAGGCCACCGATGTGGGTCAGGGTGACTTTGCGGTGTTCGAGCACGATGCCAGCACCAATACCATACATCAGGTGGCCAAGCTGCCCGTGCGCCTGGCCAGCAAGGCGCCCCGGCCTCGTGAAAGCCCCCCGCCGCCGCCAGTGAACTATGCCACAATGCCCAAGTCGCCGTTGCCCAGGCTCCCGTCACCTATGGTAGAGGAATCTGCTTATATGGAGGCTCTGCCGCCGGCACAGCTACGCCCACATGATTTCGTGCACGAGAACTCGCCGGACAACATATTGGTGACGCCAGAGCAGCACCGCGACTTTCTGTTGCGCGAAAACGAGATGAGAAATCAGCTGCGTGCCCCTCACGATCCGGCTCCGCCCATACCCATAGCTGGCGGCAACAACAACAACAACTATGCGGTAAACAATCCATTCCTAGATAGTTCCGATACTGACATTGACAGCCTGCCACTACCTCCACCACCACCAATACCGACATCAATGCCATCGCCACCAACACCAACCAACGCCGACCCGCCCACAATGTCCGCCCAGCACTCACATCATTTGCATGAGCCGCCACTAATCGCTGTCGCTACTAACGCAACAACATCTTATTTTCCCATTGCCAATGCTAACAATAACTACATGGATGCCGCGCCGCAGCCGCTGCTCTTGGGGCCCGCGTCGCCCACCGAAATCTTTCCCACGGCCCAAATACTGCCCGTGCAATATGCCAGCCTGCCGCAGCCGCAGCAGCCCAATAAGCTTAGACTGGGCGGTGCGGCCTCGCAGTCGCAGTCGCAGTCGCAGCAGCAGCAGCAACCGCAGTCTCAGACCGTTTTTAACCTGCTGCTGCTGCCGCCGGGCGATCAGCGCCAGGTATCAGCTGCCGCCAGCTCCTCGCAATCAGCTGTGCTTTTAGCCAGCTCAGCTGGACCGCTTTATCTGCATGCGGCCAGCACAGGCTCGTCGCCAGCTCCGTTACCGGTGAGTGAAACACGTGTTGCTGTCTCATCATCGACCACGGCCGCCGAGCCGACGGTCAAATCACCCTCCTATGCCACAATGAAATTTCCAACGTTCTCGGAATTTCTGGTCAGCCCCGACTCCAATAGCAATTACCAGAACATGACCACAGCTCGCGTTGATATATCGAATTCGTCGCTGGGCACGAACAGCTCCTTCTCCATTAACTCGTCCAATTCGTCGCTGCGGACGAAAACCACCGCTGCGGTCGGTGCACCCTACAGTAGCTACTATGAGACAGCCGAGGAGATCTATTCGACAATCGAAGAGGAGGCCATTTACAGCAATACAGCGTTCTTTGACTCTCGTCGCAGCAGCGATACCTCCCTGAATTGTCGGGCCTCCAAGTCGCCCACGCCGCCGCCCTTGCCCCCGAAACGTCCGCAAAAACCGAGTAAATTGCGCACAGCACCGCCTCCTCCGGTGGCTCAGAAGCCGCACGGTCTGCGCGGCATGGGTAATTTCAAGATACGCTCACTGTCGCAGCCACAGCTGTTAACAACGCCGCCTGGCACGCCCAAAACGCCCTCAACACCGACCGGCAAGGAGACGACCGTGTAGCCGCCTCCTGGCGCGATGTCCACTTGAGTTAGCTACCTCTGCCGCCTGTCGTCTGGCATCTACCGTGTGCCTGTTGCTTTCTGGGTCAAGCTGGCGACGCTGCTTAAGTGCTGCCAAGCTAACTACCTAAATTGTGTAACTCAACTCAAGTCCCCACCACCTGCCGCCCGCCTCCCCAGTAGTCGCTCTTGCGTTTTAATTAAAACCCAACACCTCTCTAGCCATCCATTAAAAAGGCAACAGCAAATTGAGCAGCACAGTGCAGACGCTGCAATAGCAATAGCTTTCAATATTTATATTTGATTGATTGCCGGCGCCCGTCAAGCAATCGGGAGGAGCCACTGCAGCCACTGCGTCCACTGCAATCTGACACATACTACAAATCATCGGCCACATGCAACGCATCTGTATTGCTAATTAGATGCGACTTTTTGTTGACTTTAGCAGAAGGTTCCCCTACGCCCCACACAAATTGCACCACAGACGGTCAATGAACAGTGGAAGTTGAATGTGCGCTCCTCACCTGTCCCTGAGGACCACAATCAACATGTTTGCCCCCCGACTTGCTCGATTCTATCTATTTATCTCCCTTTCACTGCTCGCTTTGCGTTCAGTTTAATTTGACGTTGATTGAAACAGTTCGTTGCTTAAAGCGCTAAAGTTTGTGCCTCCCGCCCCGCAGGACAGCAAGTGGATACATTTCTCTTCTCCTTTCACAACTTTGCGAGTAGAAAACCAATGAGAATATTGAAGCTAATGCCCAGAGACAGCTATGCACACACATACACACAGCAGAGCCAGACAAATCACGAAAAAAAGAAATACAAATACAAATGCAATTTTTACAATTTTACCATTTATATAGTTAATTCTTCCATAGAGCTCTTAAGTTGACTTTAATGATAATTTATTTTGACTAACAAAACGATGAAACAAGTTGAATATTTTTTAAAAATACGTATCTTGAATAAACGATTCTGTTGTAATTCGATATGTGGAAAATATCTTTCATTTTGTGTTGTCCCTATCGTCAGTTACCATGATATATCACAGCCAAGCTTATCGAAAAGATAATTCGCTATGAGTAGCTTAGCTGGCTTCCACCGCTTGCCACATTGGCTAACGAAACCCAACTGCGTTCACATGCAGGCCACGCCCCAAGCGTGCCGCACTCGTTGGCGCTTGGCGTTCCACTGATTTGCCGTTTCGAGCGATGCGTCGCATTTGGTGGCATCTCTCTGTGCCAACTTGCAATCTTATCTTATCACGCGACACTGTTAATTGCTGTGAGAGATAAGCGGTATCTGGGTATCGATGATAAGACTAACACAATAACACACTAACGCATATCAAACACAGAGCCATGTAAGCGGAAGAGAGCTGACGCAACAAGGGCTGCGTCTGAATCATTCTAGAGCTTATTGGCTTTTAATGCGCTGGCCGCTCTGGCTGCACCAGCTACTGGAGCTGAGCTCCCAATAGCCATATTCTCAACACTTTCATGGCTCAATGGGTTTCTATTAGCCCGCCTGTCGTTCAGGCTGCCAAGGAGGAGCATCAAGGCACAGGCTAAAAGAGAGCTGCTGCTCCTGCTGCTGCTGCTGCTTCTGCTCCTGCTGCTTCTGCTGATGATTTTCCTCTTACTTCATCCCTTGGCACAAGTATTGAGTTTTAATTGAAAATCGAAAAATTCGATACGAAATTAATTTCTCTCTGCTAAAAATACAGCTCAACTGGATCCTTGATACTAGCCGGTTGGCTGCCTGCTGTCTGCTGCCTGCTGGCTGATGGCTTTTCTATATATAAAGTAGTGTACTTGACTTGTCTTTATGGGCTTGAGCAGAGGGTGGATTTGTTGGCTGATATCGTTTTTCCATGCACTTGTCGTTAGTTGGTCGCATGGTCGCCTCCTTTATTTATGAGCCTGGCCTTGTGTGTTGGCTATTGTGGGGCTGTTGTTGCATTCGTTACTGTGTAACTGTGCTGGTATGTGTGTGTGTGTGTGTGTGCGTATGTGCTATACGAACCATGGGATAAGGTTGCAATTTGTGCAGTTAAACGCTGGCTTTTGCTCTTGCTCTTTCTACACTGCCGTTTAATGACTTTGTCGTCGTTACAGCAGTCGCCCACACACACACACACACACATGAGCTCTCTGCCCCACTGGCATTGGGCTTCTCAGATTGCCTAAAACGAAGAAATTGCATGAAAGCATAAAACCGACAGTACACGACTTTGGATGATAAATGGCCTGACCCTGTCCTGCCCCTGCCTGCACTCTGCTCTTGTTCGGCCCCAAGCCAACTGCCCCAGCTGTAATTTGTGTCCCCGACCCCGTAAATTATAAGGCTTGGGGCGAAAAACAATGCTTTGATCCTTTACCCAGTCCGCCCCGGGACAACAACACGGTTGGCCACTTTATGATTGAAACGCTGGCTGCTGCTGCTACTACAGCCAGTCCTCCTGCCGCGCTCTCCTTGCTGCTTGCTGACGTATCTGGCAAACAAATGCTACTTCATCGCTCCGCGTGCTTTTTAATAAACTTGTGCGGAGCCATCAATTTGGTTTATGGTCGTTTGGGTTTCTTTGACCATCACTTCGGAAACTGCAGTTTTTCCAAAGTCGTAAAAATTATATAGACACGAAACGCGACTAAGCTCAACTTGCAGACTTTTTTTTTAACTTTTATTGATTTTTTGCTTTGTTGTTTAAAGTTCCATTTTTATTTTATTATTATTATTTTTTGTTTGTTTTTTTTTTTTGTTTTTTTCGTTGACTTGCTAACAAAAGACTTTGCATTTTTCCAGTTAACACCTACGGCCGAGAATGTGCCAGCCGTGCTCTCACCCACGCCCACAAAAGTGCCTAAATCGGTATCCGACAAAAAACGATTCTTTGAATCTGCTATGGAGGATCAACACAAGCCCACACAAAAAACAGGTTGGTTCAAACGAATATTTCCCCAAAAAAGAAAAGATACCTTAAGATGAAAAACAAAAGTAATTTTCGAAAGAGCTCGACTGAGAGGAAGGGGAGCAGCATAAATTTCTAGAGGCAGTCCTTGGCAGAGAGAGAGAGAGAATCGCATTAGCTTGTTCTAGCTCTGTTCTCAGTCATTAGCAACAAAAAATCATTTTGCATTTACATTCATTTTTTTTTAAGATTTTCAAGCCAATTCGAGACATTGCTAAATGCTGAAGTCTAGTTCTCCGTTTATAATCCACTCATTCGAAACTATAAAACTGCTTTCCTATTTACAATATTCTTTGGGGGTATCAAAGTATTACACTTTTTTTTTGCATTAATTCGCGTTAGAGAGATTCCCAAAGCTTAAACTGAAGCCATTTAATAGTATAAGCGTGCGCTGAACATGCGGTTTGCTTTCCGTATCTCGGTGCTGGCAATCCTTGTCAGGTTTCCGTTCATTGGCTTTAATAATTAGAAAAGATGGCGAGATGCGAGTTTTGCAGGCATTTACATGACAAAGGAAAAAGCTGCGAGAGGGAGCCGTTCCGAGAATTAGCCGGTTGCAAGGCTTCAGCTCTTGCTTTTGATGTGCGCGATTCCTCGCGTGGATTAAAGCAACTGAAGCAGGCGTTGTAGAATATTTTTTCTTAAATGTTTGGCTAATGGAAGGATGGCTTGAATTGAAGGATGACATTTAAGTGCGTTTCATTTAATGGGTTTTGCTTGCTTACTATGAATTGCAGAGAAAGTTTTTTCATTCCTGTCAAAGGATGAAGTCGAAAAGTTGCGCCAGGAAGAGGAAAGGAAAATTGCAACACTCAGTCGTGATAAGAAATCCAGATTATTAGATGCCGCCAATGACAACATTGACAAGGACGCCGCCCGGCATGCTGATAAGCAATCGGCTAACGCTGACAGCAGCAGCGATGACAATGACGACGCCGATGGCCAAGCTGATGATTATGACAGAGAGAACAAGAGCATTCGCAAGGACGTCGTTGACAACGTTGTCAGGGCGCAGTTCGATGATGCGGAGGACATTAGGTGAGTGCTTGATGGCAAAGTCTTATTGGATTATTGGTGCTTGCGTTCTTTTTGCATTTTATGTTACATTTCAATGCACAGACACGTCTACAATTGGTCAAACCACAATATATAATTATGATAATGATTCACACACACACACACTCACACATATATACACCGCAACAAAGTTTCACATATAAACATTTCAACACATACTAGTTATTATATTCTACGGTGTTTGTGCATTTGTTTATTGATAATTTTGCTGCATTTTAAGTTTTAGGTTTCATTGGTAACGTTATCTATCCTCTGCTGCTGCCTTTTGGTTTGGTGCTGGTGCGGGTGCAATGATGCTTTTATTTATGTTGCTCTTTAATTAAATTATCCTTAAGCATACTCTATTACACACACATACACACATACAGTTATTTACATGTATACACTAGTAGCTTATCTATTTCACTCCACATGCCAAACACATCCAGCCATTTGATGGAGCTGATCATCATCATCGAAACGTAGAGTGTGCTCGAAGCATCTACTATAGTTATTTAAGTAATCCCTATGTGTATGTATTTTCATGTTTATGTCTAGAGTACGTACGTATACATACAGCACTTCGCAAAGCAGGGCGGGCATGATGCACCCTAAGCAGTTTAAGTTTTAAGTAGCACTTAAGCGTTGTCTGGACTCATAAATCGCAGCAGCGCCTCAGAGGCGTTTTTCCACTTAACAGCATGTTTGGCCCCTTGCCGCATATTTTTGAAGCATCCAACGCAGCGAGAAAGGGCGACAGTGAGAGGAAAAGCAAGTTAGATTTTAATAAATTCGTCGAGTGGCGCATAACTCTGCATTATCTATAAAGAGCTCGAATGTGCTACGACGACTGCCAGCTATTAAATTTCTCTCTCGCAGTACCGCGTTCATTTTACATTGCGTATACGCGACGTTCGCCCATGCCGCGCTCCTGAGCTGCTCCACTGGCAGCGTGCACTGAGCAAACAAATTCGATTCCCGCCGGACCAATGCCAGCTGTTTTTACAATTGGTTAACTTCATCATTCAAACAAGCCGCAAATTGCGCTGCGCCTCCCACGCGGCCATCCGACGCATCGCAAATGTCAAATGGGAAACTGGCGAAAGGTCGGGGCGTGGGTGCTGCGTACGCAAGCCACATTCCAGCTAGTCATAATGTAACCAACGCGTTGATTTAAGCTCTTGCAAAGCATCCTAGAAACTTGTGTAGGCGCAACGTATTCCAAATCCCCGCCTAAAAATCTTTAAAATGTTCTCTCGTGTCAAAGGACATGCTCTCTTCAAGCTGAATATTATGAGCAGCTCAGCCTGAAAATGAAAATGTATAATATACGGTATATGAAGAAGGTCCTTTTCACGGATTTGGTAATTATATGTACAAATTTTTTGTCTCTCTCTCTCTCTCTCTCTTTCGCTTTCTTTCTCTAGTGATTTGCTCGCCAACAGCATCTAGCTGTAAATTTGTGTGTGTAGAGTACATTTCCGTATATTTGTTTCCGCTAATGCAT